TGAGGAAGAAAGGACACGCAGTGAATAGGGAGGAGGGGGACGAGGAGGGACCAGGCATGTGATGATGATGATGATGATGATGGTGATGATGCGGATGCTGCTGAAAATGATCACAATCACGATGACGATGACGATGACGATGATAGTGATGATGGCGCTGATGATGATTTGGGTGATGGTGCTGAACATGTTGTGATGGCAGTTGAGACGCTGCTGCAGAGGATGCTGATGCTGACGACGAGGCTGCTGATACTGATGATGGGGACGACGGTGTTGATGATGATGCTGATGATGTTGGTGATGATGATGCTGATGCTGATGCTGATGCTGCTGATGATGCTGATGATGATAAAGCATGGTGAGTGTACAGACGATGGTGACGATAATGATGACGATACGGATGATGACGACGATGAGGATGATCTTGACGCTAATGACGCTGATGCTGATGATGATGATGCTGAGGGTGATGGTGATGATGATGGTGATGCTGGTGATAATGTTGATGGTGCTGATGTTGTTGATGATGGTGATGATGCTGATGATGATGACACGTATGCTGCTGCTGTTGATGATGCTGACGATGATAATGATGATGCTGATGATGATGATGGTGCGCATGCTGATGATGACGATGATGATGCTGATGCTGATGCTGATGATGCTGATGATGATGCTGATGCTGATGCTGATGCTGATGCTGATGCTGATGATGATGATGATGATGATGATGATGATGATGATGATGATGATGATGATGATGATGATGATGATGATGATGATGATGATGGGGGGGTGGTGATACGGAGGATGTGGAGGATGATGATACTGATGGTTATGTTGATGATTGGGGTGATGACGACGGCGACGATTGCGATCACGATGTTGGTTGTGGTGATGCGTACTGCTGCTATTGCGTCTGAGATGGGCATGTTATTGATAATGTCAGTGCGGCTAGCGATGATGGTGGTGCTGCTGATGCTGAGGATGATGCTTTTTGGGATGGTGCGGCGAATGATGATCATGGTGATAGTCATGAAGGCGCGGATGATGCTGGTAAGGATGGTCACGGTGATGCTGACGATCACTATGATAATGACGGTGGCGAGGATGATGGCAATGCTGCTGATGATGATGAGGATGTTGACGATGCTGATGGTGCTCCTGGTGATTATGATGATGATGATGATGATGATGATGATGATGATGATGATGATGATGATGATGACGATGACGATGACGACGATGCTGATGATGATGATGATGATGATGATGATGCGGAGGATGATGCTGTTGTTGATGAAGATGAGGAAGATGCTGATGCTGATGATGGTGATGCGGATGATGCTGCTGATGATGATGATGATGATGAAAGTTAAGCTAAGGATGGTGGTGGTGATAACCAATATGACGCGGATGAGGGTGATGATGCTGATGATGCTGTTGATGATGATGCAGATGATGATGACGATGCTGATGCTGCTGATGATGCTGCTGATGAGTATGATGGTGATGACGATGCTGATGCAGATGATGACTATGATGCTGCTGCTGCTGCTGCTGCTGCTGCTGATGATGATGATGATGATGATGATGATGATGATGATGATGATGATGATGACGAGGAGGAGGAGGAGGAGGAGGAGGAGGAGGAGGAGGAGGAGGAAGAGGTGGAGGAGGAGGAGAGAGGAGAGAGGAGGAGGATGAGGCGGAGGAGGAGGAGGGGGAGGCGGAGGAGGATGATGAGGAGGAGGGAAGATGGTAAGGCCGAGGAGCCGCCTCCTCCTCCTCCTCCTCCTTGTCTCCTCCTCCTTCTCCTCGTCCTCATCCTCCTCCTCTTCCTCTTCCCGCCTCCCTCTTACTTATTCTTCCTCCGTCCCACTGCCTCCTCCTCCCCCTCCCTCTGGCTCCCCCTTCTCCTCCTTTCTTCTCCTTTCCCTTGCCCTCCTGCCTTCTCCTTCTACTCGTATTCCTCTTTGGGCTACCGCCGCGTCCCCCCTCGCATTTTCCCCACCGATGGCTCTCCTTCGGCTTCCTTCCGCCTCCCTCTCATCCTCCTCCTGGTCCTCTTTCCCCGCCATCACCTGCTCCGCCGCCTCCCCCTCCTCGACCTCCCCGCTCCTCTTGCATGCCCCTTCTCCCTCCGCGCCCTCGCCCTCCCGCCCCCCTCTCCTCCAGTTAAACGTGCAGCTTCTCTTCAATTGCTATTTGGGCTTCAGACATACTGACGCAAGGACGCCTGGAACCGCGGAGAGCTTGATCGTATTCCCGGCATTGGCAGCGATAGCGCCCCGGGAGAGCGGGCCATGGGCAGCATAGGCGTTCGCAGTGAGTTCAGGAGAGATTCGACGCCGACGGTGGAGGCATACATAGTCATACATATGTTCCTACACATAGACATGCACATTCACAAAAACATATTCGCATGCATCTACCACATCTGCATCCACGTATACCTTCTACATGTCCGCACCAACTGCACATTAGCATACATATACGCGTGCGCACATACGCACGCACATGTATACCGTATACAGGTACATATGCACGTACGCATAGACACACATGTACATTCACACATACATGACCCTTTACATAATGCACGTACATGTGCACGGACGCGTACGCCTACATGTACATACACATGCAGCGCCATCAACAGTGAAGAGCGCGGACGGTGGACACGGTGGGCGGGGATACGGCTGAGTGAGCGGAGAGTGGACAAGGGTCACGTGCTCATTACGCTCCGTGACGATCTGGCAATAGACATGGCCCTGAACGGTTTTGACGTGGACCATGGGGCGGCCACAGATAGGGGGTAGTCATATACTATCATGCCTCTCGACAGCAGGATCAGTAGTGTGGACGGGACGATGGTCAGGATAGCAACGGGGCCAAGGTAGGCAGCTGCAAGCGTGGCGAGGGCAATATCAGTAGCCTGCGTTGGCTGGACGGCGAGAACAACTGGAGACGTCACGAGGACCCGCAGGAGGCCGAGGAGTGCTGGGGGCGCCAGCCTGCAGATACGCCGAGGGACGTGCAGGTGGCATCGGAGATGGAGACGATCTGGCTCAATACGATCTTCAGCAAAAGCCAGCAGAAGTTGCAGGAGAACCTGTCTATGACGGATGCCGCTGGAGAGTCGACAAGAATAACGTGAGCCCCCAAGAGGCCAGAGCTTGGCTCGGCATCCAACGCTTGGAAGCTGTGAGAGGACGCCGCAGGTGGTATCCTTGATAGCAGCACGTCCAACGATAAGAGGCAATTGGGCGGCGACCTTGCGGGTATTGTTTGTGATGTGAACGCCAGCGAACACGATGCACGGCCGAATGGCGAGAAACACTTGAGCCTGACGCGAGGCTATCGGGCACAACGAGGCCGTCGACAGCAGCCAGAGACAATGCAGGCGTCTGAGACAGAGTCAGTGCTGTAAAGGCAGTGGGACAACGACCTTAAGGGCGAGACTACGAATACTCGCGCGCGCGTGTGTGTGTGGGTGTGTGTGTGTATGTTTGTGGGCCGCTGATGGCTGGCCAGGAAGACGTGGGCTCCGATTTGAGTGCGAAGTCAAGAGCGAAATAGCATTCACAATGGAGCATGACAAGGGTCCGATCAGCGAGTCTGAATGGTGGGGTCCCGCGAAATGGGTCGTATAGGCATTGCTGGACGACTACACACCAGAATATCATCGGCGGGAATCGGGTGACACGCATGGCGTCTGACAACAGGGGCACGGTGGACACCCTGGGAGCCGTGTGACACAAGAAGTCTAGCACGGCGCGAGGAGCACATGCGGGAGGCCAGCGGCGTGGCCAGGTCTCGGTGGAGGCCGTTCCAAATGACCAGGTCGCTTTCCAAGACGAGACGGGGTCGCGTCACATCAGAGGGGCTACGAGGAGCACGGGCATGCCGTTACGAACGCTCACAGCTGGCGAGCTGATCATGACGGTCGGGGTCATGGCGATCCCTCGGGCTATCCGATCGGCGGCGACGGTGAGGGGAGAGGCTTCAAGCCGCTTCTCGGCATCAAGCCGGAATCGTGGCGACCCTTCTGGCGTCGGATTTCATCATGGCCAAGCACCGAGCCAGATCTACTCCGAGACGACAGCCGTCGCTTCCTGCCTACTGCCTGCTCGCGCGAGCTCTCTTCGTACAGAGATCTCGAAAGCGTGAGGTCCAACGCCTCTCTCTTGTACTGTAGTGCCAAATTGTGTCTTCAGGCGTTTTGGCTCAGGGACGCCAGGAATCGGCAGCGAGGGGCGGACATGAGCAGGAGAAGGCCTTCTCAGAAGACGGCTGGACTTCTCAGAAGCCCTCGCGCCTTCTGAGAAGTTGATTGTGTGTGTGTGTGTGTGTGTGTTCGGGGAAGGCTCATAGAAGGCCGGGGGACTTCCGAGCCTTCTGAGAAAGCCCGCCCTTTCTCATTTCCATCGTTGTCGGATCGTTCGGTCGGCACCCTCTCGCTATCTTCCTTGCCTCTCTCTCGCTCTGCCTGCCCCAGTCGCTTCCTGTGCCCCTCTCCCTCGCCAGTGCGTCGTCAGTGGAGCGGGGGCAGCGAGTTGGACGCGGGAGGGAGGAGGAGGAGGGCGAGGAGAGGGAGGATGAGCAGGAGGAGGAGGATGAGGAGGAATAGGAGGAGGACGAGGAGGGGGAGGAGGAATAGGAGGAGGACGAGGAGGAGGAGGAGGAGGAGGAGGAGGAGGAGGAGGAGGAGCAGGAGGAGGAGGAGGAGGAGGAGGAGGAGGGGAAGTCTGAGCAATGTCAAAAAGGGAGGAGCAGGGTGGGGAAGAGGAGGGGCAGGCTCATGAGAGCGAAGAGGGAGATCCGCCGCTGTCGCTGTTATCGTCGCCCTCGTCGCTCGTACATTTTCCATCGCCAACGCAGGGTGTGTTTGGCACTCGAGTCTGACACTGTACACCGCGGCCGCGGCATACATACCCTCCGTCGACAGTACTCCGCCGTGCTCAGCATCATCCGATCCTTCCTAGCCAGCGGCTGCCATGGTGTCTGCCCTGGTCGTGGTCGTGCTGGCCGCGCTGGCAGTGCCCGTGGCATCCCTGAACGGAGCGAGGAAGCTGCAGGTCGCCAGCTCCGAAGCCCGTACTTTAGTATTGTCAGTGGTGGTTTTGTATTGGGTTTTGTAGTCGGCGCCAGTGCGGGTGCTCCTTCTGCTGTCGGTGCTGCTACCTCTGCTGGTGTTGCCGCTGCTTTTGTTGTGGCATGCGTGAGGTCCACCCGTGTGTGACCTGGACATCATATTACATCCGTGCGTTGCCTTGCCAGAGGAAGACGATGTGGTCAAGTAGAGGGGTGGTATGAGCATGGGCAGGAGCAGGAACCATGAGGGGACGAAACGAAATGCTACGGGAGAGGGGATGATGATGAATGGAGCTTGGATGAAGCAGAACGTAAGGTGGGAGTGCTGCTGCAGAGAAGCGTCTAAGTTGCCACGGATCGTCTGGTTCAGTTGAGTGGCACGGCGTCCGCATATTCGCTCACTGGTGCTATGCCGGGTTCCATAGCCAGCAGCTCTTGGGAACAGCGTCGCTTTCATCTAGGGTGGTGGTAAGGAGAAGGATGATCATGGTGTTGAGGAGGATGGGACACATGAGCAAGGGGAGGTGGATATGTGAGGGGAGAAGACGGGGTGGTGCTATGCTGTTGAAACTGATAACGAGGATGGAGTTCTTTGAAGGTACAATTGAAGGTGATGGTGACAAGGGGTGGGGATGACGAGGTTGACGAGTGTGCTGAGCGTGATGGTGATGCTGTTGTTGGTGATGCTGATGCTGATGCTGAGGCTGCTGTTGTTGATGGTGGTGTTGCTGATCATGATGACGATGATGGTGATTCTGATGACGATGATAATAATGATGACGATGATGATTGTGATGCTGATGACAATGCTGCTGTTGATGATGATGATGACGATTATGCTGATCACGATGGTGATGCTGCTGATGATGATGAAGGCGATACTGAATCTGCTGATGATGCTGATTATGATGATGGTGTTGGGACAATGATGATCATGACGACGCTGATGATGCTGTGGATGATGATGATGATGATGATGATGATGATGATGATGATGATGATGATGATAAGAATGGCGGTGATCATGATGATGATGAGGATGATGATGATGATGATGCCGACTATGATGATGATGCTGATGATGACGACGACAGGGATGCTGTTGTTGGTGATGATGGTGGGGCTGATGCTGATGCTGATGATGATTATCATGCTGATGCTGCTGTGGATGACGATGATGGTGCTGACGATGCTGATGGATGCTGATGCTGATGCGGATGCTGCTATCGTTGACGATGGTGAGGTTGCTGCTGATGATGGTGGTTATGATGATGAGAATGATGATCCTGATGTTGATGATGATGATGATGATGATGATGATGATGATGATGATGATGATGAGGGTGTTGTTGATGATGATGCCGATGGTGATGATGAGCTGATGCTGCTGATGATGCTGATGATGAGGATGATGATGATGACGCTGATGATGCTGATGATGATGATGTTGTTGTTGTTGTTGTTGGTGGTGTTGTTGTTGTTGCTGCTGTTGAACATTATTAATTCTAAAGAATAATTATTGTTGGGACCCCTGGTGCACGGCCCCCCTGCGCCGCCTAGGCCGCAGCTACATTTTCATCATTTTCGTGAGGAAGCCTCAGGTAATTCGATGTGATCAAGATCCGGTTGTTTTGTTCCCCCCCGCTTTCCCTTGCAAAAAACACTATAAAATGACATTTCTTGTTCTAATATAATCAAATTTCAAGAATCCCTTGCAAAAAATAAGGTAAAGTGGACATTCGCGCGCGCAAGACGAAATCCTTCCAAAACCTTAGTGTTCGCAACGATTTTAACATAAAAACATCAAAAAACCAATGGTTTTTCAACAAAAAAATGTCAAAATCTCATCCCGCGCGCTCTTGCGGATTCGTAGGAAACCCAACACTTTTTAAACATTTCTGTCAAACGGGCTTTTGCGAGCAACTTTTTCGAACTTCTGCGACAACGGTTGCGCACCTGCCAGGGCCATCATCCCTGTCAAATAATACCATGCGGGACACATTCGTTTTTTCTTCGCGCGCGCACGCCGTCGTCGTCGGCCGCGGGGCCCTGAATAGTAGCCACGGTCGTCCGCATGCCACGAAGTGAAGTGTCCGAACGTCATAGGGCGGGAAGCTGGGTGTGGGTGGTGGCGAAGAGTCGTTTGGAAATTTGGTAGAGCTTGAACCGGCCCCCCCACAAAGTGGGGGTATTGCCCGCCTCCTATGAAAACCCTGGCACTGGTGAGAACGGAGTGTCCCCACGTGCTAGTAATTGTTGTTGTTGTTGTTGTTGTTGTTGTTGTTGTTGTTGTTGTTGATGATGCTGCTGCTGATGATGCTGCTGCTGATGATGATGATGACGGTGATGCTAATGCTGATGCTGCTGCTGATGATGATGCTTATGAAGATGTCAAGTAATGGGATTGTTGTGATGACCTGATGAAGAGAAGGAAGTGGAGGAGGGGGGAGTGAGTTGAGGATGGGGGAGGGGATGCAGAGGAGGAATGAGGAGGAGGCGACGGGATGATGCTGCCTGCCTGTCTCCCTGCCTATGTCCCCCTTGTGCCCCGGACCTTCCCGACTTCCCGGTGGGGAGGGGGAGGATGATGAGTAGGAGCAGGAGGAGGAGAAAGTGGAAGAGGAGTGCAAGTAGTGGGTCGAGTGGAAGGAGGAGGAGGAGAAGGAGAATGAAGAGATTGAGGAGGAGGGTGGTGACGAGTACGTGCGCAGAGGAGGACGATATGAAGGAGGAGAGTGACGATGATATGCAGGAGGAAGCGAGCGCTCTTCCATCCGTGTCGTTCTCTCTTTCTTTTTGTTCTGACTACTTATCTCTCAGGAAATATCTGATCCTGGGTCGAGGGTTCACAGCCCCCCCCCCCCCCCAGATGGGATGGGTGGCAGAATTCCACAGCCCCTCCCCCAGGAGGGATGAGGGGGGGGGGGCGACAACGACGACGACGACGACGTCGACGCGGCCGACGCCGACGCGGACGCCGACGCCGGCGCCGACGCCGACGTTGACGCCGACGCCGACGGAAGACGCCACACCCACAGGGGGGTTGGAGCACCAGCACCCTCCACCACGCCACGCTCACAGGGTCACGACCACATGGGGAGGGGGAGGGGGAGCGATCCCATTCGCGAAGCTTTGCGAGGCTCACTGGCGTACCCATCCAGCGGGGGGATGCGGCTCGATCCCAAAGGCATTGGGCCGGGGGGGTGCAACCCTGGATCATATCATGTATGTATGTATATGTATGTGTGTATGTATGTATGTATGTATGTATGTATGTATGTATGTATGTATGTATGTATGTATGTATGTATGTATGTATGTATGTGTGTGTATGTATGTATGTATGTATGTATGTATGTATGTATGTATGTATGTATGTATGTATGTATGTATGTGTATATATATATATATATGTGTGTACGAATACCATACCCCCGGCACGTGCGGATAGGAGTGAGGGGTTGCTGTGGTCTCGGCGTGACGCGCTGTGAATTGGAACATAGCGCGCGGCGCCCTGACGCCTGCGAAGCCACAAGAAAATTAAGGAGATCACGGATAGACGCCGTCTTCCGCAACGGACAAGGGAGAACGAATCCCAAGTGCCGAATTGCCGCCCAAGCCAGGGCGGTTACGAATATCGTCGCACGAATTCCCGAGCCTCAGTCCAGGGCCCGACTGGAACAATTAAACAAAGCATTCAAGGAAGAAGCCCGCCGCAGGCGCCAATTCTTGAATTCTTTACGCTTCGCGTATCCCCACCAGCCTATCTCACAGCAGCAACTCTTGCGAAGCATGCCGACAGTCGTGTTTTTCAGGCGTGTGTCCGCTTGGCCCCGCATATCTCCCCTGTTCCTCCTTCCTCCCGCCTCCTTGTACATCCTCCTTGTGGGGGAGCGGGAGAAGGACGAGGCGGAGGAGGAGGGAGAGAAAGCGCTCCTCGTGATTTGAGTCGTTTGGGGTTTCTCGTCCTGGTGTGAGTCGTTCGGGCCCTTCTTCCTGGTGTGAGTCGTTCGGGCTCTTCGTGGTGTGAGTCGTTCGGGCTCTTCGTCCTGGTGTGAGTCGTTCGGGCTTCTCGTGGTGTGAGTTGTTCGGGCCCCTCATCCTGGTGTGAGTCGTTCGGGCCCCTCCTCCTGGTGTGACTCGTTCGGGCTCCTCGTGGTGTGAGTCGTTCGGGGCCCGCGTCGTGGTGTGAGTCGTTCGGGCTCCTCGTGGTGTGAGTCGTTCGGGCGCCTCGTCCTGGTGTGAGTCGTTCGGGCCCCTCCTTGTGGTGTGAGTCGTTCGGGCTCTTCGTGGTGTGAGTCGTTCGGGCCCCTCGTCCTGGTGTGAGTCGTTCGGGCTCCTCGTGGGGCCTCTTGGGGGCCTCTTGGAGCCTCTTGGGGCCTCTTGGGGGCCTCTTGGGGGCCTCTTGGGGGCCTCTTGGGGGCTCCTCTTGGGGCCTCTTGGGGCCTCTAGGGGGCCTCTTGGGGGCCTCTTGGGGGCCTCTTGGGGCCTCTTGGGGGCCTCTTGGGGGCCTCTTGGAGGCCTCTTGGGAGCCTCCTGGGGGCCTCTTGGGGCAATCTTGGGGCCTCTTGCGGCCTCCTCAGAAGCGCAAATGAGCGCTGCCCCCTGAGAAGGACAAAATGAGCCCAAAACCTTGGTAAACTCAATGATTACCTAACAGCGAAGACTGATAGGTTTCTAGTGGGATCAAAAGAGAGCAGCAGATCACTCCACAGGGGGTCCGGGCAGGTGTTGGGAGTTGCCGGGCGGCAGGTGCCGGGCTCGTTTTTCACCAACAGTCACACACTTCGTGCTCTTCGACTTCCCAGAACTCCATTCCCAGGCTCATTCTGAATACCCGGATGCAACAGTCACACACTTCGTGCTCTTCGAGATCCCAGAACGCCATTCCCGGGCCACATTTAGAATAACCGGATGCAACAGTCACACACTTCGTGCTCTTCGAGTTCCCAGAACTCCATTCCCGGGCCACATTCTGGAGGGC